CAACCTCAAGCTTAGCATCCGTTGGACGGGTCCGCCTTCCAGGATGGGGACCACGCGGTTCAGACGGCTAGTCGTTAGCAACGTTGGAGGCTATGACGCGCAACCGACATCAGTGAAGACAGTGCTGTTCAACTCCGTTATCTATTAGTTAACGTCTTCTGGAATCTCAACTCCAAAACACAAAAATTCCCAAAGCGGTGTATGTAAAACCGAAATATTCGTTTACTTAATGTTGTATCTCGTTTGCCCCTTTATTTCGCCATGGTTTTGATGGCACATTATCTGTAATCAGATGGTGCATATATATATATATACCAGAGTCAAAAGATGAAAACCCTCAGATACGCCCGCAGGTTTAGAGTATCAAATATACGTCGACCCTCTGAGCCGAGGAGCAAGCGCAAAAGCCTGAAAGTATCCTCTGTTTTCAGCGTCACGGGTGGATTGAGAACTGATAGCACGGAAATATAAGCTGAAAAACTAATTTCCCAGTCTTCCCAACATTCAGCATTTGGGGTAACCGCAGAGCCAGTCCATAACGGTGCAGGAGCAGTAACATTCAAAGACATCAGTAACATGCGACGTCAATTTGTTGTATCCCGAAAACGCAGCAGACCAGAGCAGCACCGGAACGTACGTATGGAAAATCTGTGTGTACATACCCACATTACCACTGAATCCATAGGCGTTCGAATTGCAGTCCATCAAATGCAAGATCAGATGACTGGGCCAACGAGTGCTAAATAGGAGTGTGAGTAGGATAAGTGAATCGAGAGCAAAAACAAAGCAAAGTATTTGAACACGACAAAAGTGTTCTGCCCAAGGAGTCATACGGCACTCCTCATTGTGTATCAGTGTCCCAGCACTGTCCCTGATTGTTTCATTGATACCTGCTTTCCTGGGACCAGTGGTTCGCATTGGCTGGAAGAGCATGCGCTAACTGTCTACTGCTCCTGCTTCCTCCACTTCTTGCGCCCGACAGGTCCACCAAGCTTCCTTGGCAGCGCGCAGGCTCCGCGTTAGTTTGCGATTTTTAGTGCCTCTGGTCACATTTTGCTCAGAGTCAGCCGGAAGTTTTCTTTTGGATTCCACCAGGTTCACCGACCTTTTGCATAGACGGTGATTGATGCAGTGACGATAGATAGCGCCTCAAGCGGAGGCTCCTGCATGTTGCATGACGGCAGTGCTCGTTTTTCATTGAAGCTCAGTGTCATTAGGAAGAGAGCAAAAGTTCGGCAAACAGTGCGTCTTGATAGGTTTGCCAGAGATAACTTCTCAGTTGCCAAACGAGCCTGCCACTTGGTAGGCCGCCCGGTAAACTTCGTAACAAAACGACAACGTACCAGCGCATGATTAGTGTGCATGCAAGTACTCCCGAATGAAGGACAATCCAGGAAGAAACCACGCCACGCAACCTGATCTATATGGGCCCCTTGTTGGTCAGCTACAGGAGGAGGCCAAATGGCACTTTGGCGCCCACTGTGTCTAAAAGAGGTGCTACTAAGAAACAGCTGGCGTTCCACACACAGCTGTAACAGACGCTCGCCGTTGTCTCTCCGTTCGGAGTTAAGTCCATACTTACCGCCCAGCAAAGGTTCTGAAATACTCAGACGACCAACCTGCGCATTCATATCCCCTGCAAGAATTATGCTATCTGCACTGGTAACACTGCGTAGCAGAGTATTCAGTTCGTGGTAGAAGCAGCATCAGAACTGCAGTCGGTAGTGCCGCAAGCGGGAACCCGAAACAGCGTCTAGCATCACTTCGGGAATCATCCTAGTTGATGTCGTCAGACGGACTTCGCACAAACGCCTGACCACAGGAATCCAGTCAACCAACAAGGACTCAGCCTTGGAGCTGAGAACAATTCCCACTCCAGCTTAAGCAGTGGTTGCCGTATCAGCGTCCCCGGATGCGTGCAACTTACAGCTGGATGACTTGCCGAACAACCTCCTCGTGGTGCCAGCTGGGTGGTTCGGAATTATCCCGTTCCCGCGATTACTTTGATGGCAGTGTACCAGGACGTAATGAGTTTGCTCCTGGCAAGCGTTCTTCCTATAAAAAGCCGCATATGTCCGTTTAACAAGACTGTGACGTGGCGGATGTGATTCGCCACTAAATAAAGTTACCGCACCTTGCCTCTCTCTGAGTGGCATTGTAATTCACGGGGGTTTTGGGTCCGTGGTCCTGTGCGGTCCTAAAGGCGTATGAACCACTTCTTTGGTCACCGGCTCCCAACAGGTTGCGGTGCCCTCATATCGCCCTGCGGCCTTGTATGTCAGACCCTGGATCAAAGGCTGCGGTAGGGGTCCCTAAAACCACGCTCTACTTCGGCCTGGGCAACCGGGTAGTATCTCGCCCACTGACGAACCCTGGATGGATAATCCCCTTTCCTCCCCAATAAAAAACATCAAAAGCTCAAAAACTGCGAGTGGAAAAAGGGACAAAAATTTGTTTGTTTTCTTCAGTTAATCTAACCCCGTTTACCTATTCCGCCATGGTTTCGATGGCACAATATCTGTACACAGATTGTGATATATATATATATATATATATATATATATATATATATATATATATATATATATAACTGCGAGAGGACACACCGGGTGCAGTTGATTCAACAACCCCGTGAGCGTCCATTTTCCTGGTTTCGGATACGCAACATACGTCAGTATCCAACAGGCCTAACCTGCATGCAAGAGCAGCCTGTTGACCTGTTTTCTTAGAGTGTGAATGTTGAACGTCGCCAGGGAAACGGGACCGTGAGACCTTAGTCAAGTAAAATCAAGGTAAGCTTTAGGTACCCAGATGGGCGCATTTTCAGTCATTTACAGTATCAATTGCATATTTTGTAAAATGACATGTTAACGAGTGAAATTTTATAAATGGATGTAGTAAAGGAAAAAGGGCGCATTGGTGTCACTCGAATAGGAGAACCACGTACTTGAGCACTAAGTGCATCTTGATAAACAGCACCTTCGTATTATTCTCCAGCCGACCGAATGTAGTTTTGTGAGGACATTTCTTCTTAATTGGTTTCAATTTGCCTAGTAGTTCATGGCTACAACCGCGAATAGCTCGCGGGATCTGGGTTTGGTATCGGAAATATCGGTCTTGTTGACTTCGGAAGCACTTTGGACAAAAATGCTGTCAGGCTATTCCTATTCCTATATCCGCAGTAGATAAAATGAAAGTGAAGTTCAGTGAAAAGGCAAAGGCCGATTAGAGTCCAGTGGGTGATGCGAGAACATAACTACAGATGGTATGACTCCATTGACATTACGGTTACTGATTATTAAAATGGGAATTATAGAAGGTTATTAATGGGGACTGGGAGGGGAGTAAGACAGACAGATGGAAATGAAAGGAGGAAGGCGCCAGCAGTAACATCTTTTCGCTTAGCCGCCCTGCTGTATGCAGCAGATATGGCGACCCTTGCTAATCTGCACGACGACCAATGCAGGATGAACTTTATGTTTGAGGAAATAGTCATGATTCTATGTGAACTGAGAAACTACTAGGGAACCCAGACCTAGACAGGAGGACGGTTAGGGTCCACAACCAAAGCGTTTGGCTCAAAAACCTGTCCGCAAGTCAGCGAGTTAGTGGCAATTGCTAACTTTTACAGAGATGGTTTCCATCCCATTTCATACCCACAACATGGAGGACCAGGAGACTGAGTTCGTCTGACTTCTAACCATGGACCAACCTGGCTCTTAAAGGGTCAAAGGGCCCTACCCAGTATAGCTCAATGAGTTGGCGAAATACGCAAACCGTCCCACTAGGTTAGGGTCCAGTCTAATTGTGACGCGGGTTTCCGGTGATGGAAGACTTGTTTGGGGTTCTCAGGGGTATCGACAGATCAGGCTGTTTTCTCTTTAGGTGGCGATATTGGTCACTATATGCTCTTGGTGCTCTCAGTATACCTCGGTGTGAGAGATGGAACAGCGCCATTGCGTCCTTAGTTGTCCTTTACTGTGGGGTTAAGAGCGCAGGTTGACCACACTTCTTCCAAGTCTACTATATGTAGATGGGGTATTCCGCATGGGACTCCCGTAGTCTTTGTATACTTATGGAAGACCGAAGTGTTGATTCCCGGTTCCAGAACAGCTGAGTTCAACCCAAACCAACACTCGTGGGTTGCGCCCCAGGTAACACACTCGCCACGCAATCGATCGCGCATGAGGAATTATATACTGGTATATACTGGCATATATCCGAGCCGATTATCGCCGTCCCACCATCATGGTTCTAAACTACCGCCTTCGCAAGCGCAATGAGTCCCGTGTAAACAGGTATTTCGACTTAGACGTCAGCGCAGATGATAAGTAACTTGTATGATTAAATTAGACTCGTTGGAAGGACTGTAGGTCATCAGAAAAGATTCGGCTTAGCTAAATGTTTAGTCGCATAGTCCGTAGAAGGACTGTAACTAACGGCGGTTTATTGATTTCTTCGGATGCTACTCCTGGTGCTGCAACAAGTTTGAGTTAGTTATTTATTTCAAGTAAACAGGTCTCCAACAAACAGTGTTGCGCAATGATATGGAGACTAGACAACTCACAGAATGGCACCTAACGAACACCGTCCGGGGTTTGATGATAAGTTCATCACACGTGGAATTAGAGTCGATCATCCGGCATACGGAGACCTGATGCCAATCATAAATCATGCAAAGTTCAGTCCAATTTATTTGATAAGGCAGCGGTTGTAGCCTCTAATTTTTGGACATTGTGTATGGTGATGGTAATTCCGGATACTGGGAAATGTGGAAGCCGCGAACGAGCTAACCACACAGAATCAGCATTTTAGATGGAATTTTTAAATTTCTATTGATGTTAAAAAGCGCTTTTTCATTAATCTAGTTTATTATTTTTGTGTAAATACAACCCAAACAATTGGAGCTATCAGTCTTTAACCTATTTTGCCGGTATTTGGACACTGTTGGATGTCATGAAAGTACGCAAAACAACATTACTAAACTAAGACGTACTCACCTTCCCAAGTGTTCTGCTATCCAAGCAGAAGCAAGTGCCCCGATCGCACCTGCAACAACGCTTGTGATGCCAACTAGAGCATACAGAAAATCCGGACCAATGAAGCCAATTGCTATTTGATTACCCGTCAATTTGAGCAATGTACGACCGAGAAACACTTGAATGTTCTTGGGTAATTGAAGAAAACAGTAAAATTATTTTTGCACAAAGTTTGGATACCAGTTCATGGCTTTAATAAATGGTCGACACGTGAATAAGATCTGTTCGGAATGCAGACGCCCTTTTGCCATTAGAATACTTGATTTTTACTGAGCAAAAATCAACTTGTCACACAAGCTTTATGCGCCGCTTTCATTCTCAAGCTGTTCAACTTCCGCCTTACGGATGACTGTGATACAGTTACGCTGCGTCCATTGCCTACAGCAGCTAGGATACCAACCCGGCAAACTGCATCCCATCAATCCAGTCTCCACCATGCTTAACGGCGAAATCAGCAGGAAACATTAGTTTGGTTTTCCACATTTGTGTGCCACCGATTATTGAAGGCATCAATTTACTACCTAGTAAAGTAGCATTACTTCCTTACTGTTGGCTACATTTATCTCGTAATTCAAAGTGATTTGGAGGACACAACGGTCATAAAAACTGCCCAGCAAACGCCCCATCGTGCATAGTTTGAACAAACCAACTGCATTAATCTCCCTAGACAGTTTGGCAAAGTAGTACTAGAGAATCCGTCGTCTGATATTGTATACGATACCGCACTGACATCGTTGAAACCGACTCGTAGCCATTTCGAGATGCAATGCTGGGACCCGGCCATGTTTGTAAATCGAATCCGTCACCGTTCGTGGCGAGATTTTCTTGTGCTAAGCAGTACATATTAAGGTTTTCATTGCAATTTACTCCTGTTAAAGCAGCAAGTTATTAGCATGTAGGTTCAGTGAATTCAGTTATAGATACTTCCATTATTGCCGTGAAAGCTGTGACCGAAAAGGCCATCAACCAGTGTCTGGCGTGTGCACCGTATAGTCTGGCTTATCAGCGCACATGCCTACAAGCATATATACGGTCGCAAAAGGTGGTGTAAACGCTAACAGCGAGTTAGCTTGTGTCACAGTAACTCTGGTAGCTAAACAGGATACTTTACTCATTAAAGCATTACGTAAGCACCGTTACGTTACATTTTGCTTTCTAATTCAACGCGACTGAGCACCGTCAAGATAAACAACACGAAAAATCATCTGGAGTATAAAACGGGGGGAAAACTGACGCCTAATAAATCCCTTAGGATGGTTGATAAGAAAACAGCAAGCTGAACAAACAGTGTACCATTAAGAGAAACTGCATGCTGCTGAACTGACCCAGATTTTCATACGAATACACGCATTAGTAAAATCTGTTATAACCGAAATGCAAACTTTGGCTGCCTTAGCTGGCTGACGGGCGAACTGAAGTTATAAAAAGCAATACATATGACCTAATGCATTCTAAAGTCATCCTTTTAAATATCGTTAACTAGGGGCACAAACAATGCACATGTGAAGGACTTTCCACGACTGGAAAACTTGAATGGAGAGAAAACGCGAGAGTATTCCAGCCGAATATTGTTCATGATGACTCACCAGGTTAGTACAATGGAACAATGGAACAATGGTATATGACGGGTAAAAAAGCATACACTTAACGAGTCCCGCAGGTTGGCAATAGAAATACTAACAAATTGGCAAACCACATAAGTGGTTGAAGTAAGGAGTGTCAGTGAGATAAAAGGTAGAAGTATAACAGTTTTAGGGGGATAAAGTGGTACGGCGCAAAACTGGCTAAGAAATTGTTATCGTTGGTGATGGTAGCAAATAAAAATGGAGTACTCACCGGTTCGCACAGATTTACGACCGTGAATTTGGGGTATAAATCCAAAGAGGCTGGTCAGCCTAAATATATACAAGCGTTTTCGTTCATAAAACAAAGCGCAGGGCGCTCAGTGCGACGTCCAATCGTATTTTAAACGTATCTAATGTGGGGGCACAAACTACTGAGTTTGGAAGGGCGTTCCAGGGCCCGCAGACTCGGAGGGAGAAATAGGTTCTCCGACAGTCTAGACGACTGTACTGTTGGCTCAGCTTTAAACTGTTACAGCGAAGGTTAGTGTTCGGGCTGAGCTTCAAGAGGTGGCGGCATACGTGACTGGGATCGTTCAATATCTGGTACACTAGTATGAGGTCTCCACGAAGTCGCCGGTACCGTCCGCTGAACACTCCGAGTATCTCCAGTCGTTCCTGGTAAGGAGTGTGGCGCAAGCCCTTGACGATTTTCGTTGCTCGACGCTGTGGGGTCTCAAGCGCTGCAAGGTCACGTTTCAGCCAGGGTTGCCAGGCCTGGATTGCATATTCGACGTGAGGACGCACGTAGGCATTCAGCATCAAAGAGAAGATGGATGGATCCAAAATTCCGAATGCTCTTCGCAGGAGTCCAACGTGCTGGTTGCCCCTTTTAGAAGCGGAATCTGACTGTTTGGAACACCCGAGGTCTTCCTGTACCAGCACACCCAAGTCGCGTTCCTGAGTGGTGGTCTTCAGATCGTGTGCCCCAAGCTTGTAGACGTGGACTTGTCGATGGCGGATATGAACAACGCGACATTTGTCCACATTAAACGGCAGGGCATTTCTCACCGACCAATTCCAGGCCTCATTCAAGTCACGCTGTAGGACTTCCTGGTCGTCCGATCGTTTTATCGCCCGCCAAACCTTGAGGTCGTCCGCGAAGAGTAAGAATTTCGACGTAATAACTCTTACTAGATCGTTAATGAAAAGCAGGAACAAACGAGGCCCAAGTACCGAACCCTGCGGTACGCCGCATCCCACTCGAATCGGATCGGAAAAGGATGATCGAACTCTAACTTCTAACTGCCGTTCAGAGAGAAAGTTACCGATCCATCCTAACAACGGGTCTCCGATACCGTACTGTTGGAGTTTAATGAACAGGAGTCGATGATCCAGGCGATCGAAGGCTTTCGAAAAGTCCAAGAATGCAACATCGACTCCTGTTCCCTCATCAACAGTCTCGGTCCAGTTGTCACGAGCTATCAGCAGATTCGTCGTACATGAACGATGTTGACGAAACCCATGCTGTTCTGGCGCAATTATGCCGTAGTTTTCCAAGTATCCCATTAACGCATCTGCTATCACCGCTTCCATGACTTTGGCGATCACAGGCAGAAGCGTTACGGGGCGGTAATTGACAGGATCCGATCGACTTCCTGCTTTGTATATGGGCGTTATTACACCTTGTTTCCACCTCGAAGGTACGATGTTCTCATCGAAACAGCGCTGAAAAAATGCAGCTAGTGGTTCGGCCAAGTGGATGGCAGCTACCTGTAATGTTTTCGGGTGAATGTTATCGGCCCCGGGAGAGCTGTGTGGACGCAAGGATAGCAGCTTTTGCAGCACCATTTCTGCAGTGAACGTGACGTTGGATAAAACGGGCGGTGGGGTAACTAGTGGCGGAATATACGTCGAGGCTTGTACACCTTGGAAGATTGGGGAGTACTGGGCCCGTAATGCGTTGGCCGCCTCTTTCGCAGTATGTGTATACCCATTGGTCGTATTAAGTGGTGGGATTCCCCGTTGCACCTTGCGAAGTCCATTCACATGTTTGTAAAGAAGCTTTTTGTTCGAACAGAATCGTTTGGCTAGCTCCTGCTGATGCGTTCTCTTGTCTTCGCGAACCAAAAGCACACAGTAGTTGCGATGCGAAACGTATTCCGTCCAGTTTTCTGCGCTGGGGTTGCTTTTATACGTGCGCCATGCCCGATCCCTTAGAGTCATGCATTTTCGCGTCCGGCTTCGCAAGAATGATTTCGCTGTGCGGGGATGTTGGGAAACTTTTGGTGTTGAGGCTTCTATGACTAGTGACGTGATGGTGTTCGCAAATGTCTCCCAGGCTAGTTCTGGGGTGCAGTTAGCTAGAAACGTCCAACTGGTATTCTCAACTAAGGCAGACAGAACGTGGTAATGGATAACAGATTGCCTCGTTTCGAGCTCCGCAGCTGGATATTTGGCGTAGCAGATGTAATCGAACTGCAAAGTCACGTGATCGCTACGGCCCAAAGGACTGCACACCTTTAGTCCATCGACCATGAGCTCTTCGTTAGTGAGCACTAGATCTAATATCGATGGGTTGTTTCCTGTTCTGAACCTGGTTGGAACGGTGACGTGGTTATACAAGAAGGTGCTAGAGAGTAGCTCTTGCAAATATGCCTTGAACACCTCTGTCTCGGATGCTGGATTTTCCAAGTCATGGGTGTTGAAATCTCCTGCAACGAGGATGTGGCTGTACTTCTGATTAAGCACGGAGCGAAAAGCGGAGATAAGTCTGTTGTCCCTTTCCGGAGTGGATTTCGGTGGTCGGTAAACTACAGAGAGAAGGCATACGTCGTTGCGTTCCAACCACAGTTTGCACCATAGGACGTCGGTGACACAAGTCTGGGGATCGTCTATGAGCTCACAACGCAGGTTCGTTCGGAAATAAATGAGCACGCCACCGCCCTTGTCCGTTCTGTCGTTCCGGAGAAGTGACATACCCGGTATGGCAATCTCAGGGTCTGTGATTTCGCCGCTCAGCCAGGTTTCGGTGATCATTATGATGTCTCGAGGCTCCGAAGCCAAACGGTGACGGAGTTCTACCAACTTACTTATGAGGCCTTGTGCATTAGTATACATGCAGGATAGTGCTTTTGTAACCAAGAGTGAGCTAGCACAGGTTGTGGTAGAAATGGAGTTTGTGCCGACCGTTAACGGGTCGGCCATTAACCGTTTTTTTGTGGTGACGTTTGCCTTTGAGTTTGCTTTCGGTTAGACGACTGATCGCCGCCTTCCGGGCCCTGCTGGTCCCCCGTGTTCAGCCGTGTTTCGTGGGATATTGCGGTTGTTGATAAATCCATGCCTTCACAAAGTTGCATGAGTGGATGGTTCAACAATTTGATCGCTCCCTGTGAGTCGTTGGTAATCCGTGGCAGCGTACCTGATGCCTTTAACCGAATTTCAGCTGGCAGCTTCATGTGGAATTTGGACCAGTTTTCCAAGGCGAGCGGTAATTTTTACTCAGATTGAAGCACCACCTTCATAAATCTGGGACCGTTCCCTTTGTAGTTGGGTGAAAATGGAATCCTGGTCATCCGCATAGCGATGATATTATTGAGGGAGATTTCGTGGCGGATGTAACTCCATTGCTCCCGGTCATGTGCATCCGCTGCATCAGAGGTTGAATTTTGGAGCTCAGGAACCCCGTACACAATTATCGTCCGTTTCGCCTCGGCTTTACGAACTTCTTCACGGTTGCTCATTTTTTTCGGACGTTCGTTCCAAGGGATATCAGGAAGTATACGCGCCTCGAGTGATGAATGACAAAGCCTGTTGGACGATAGTAGAACTGCCTCTGTGTCCTTGATGGAGTTTAGTGTCACCCGGAGAAGTCGGGGTTCACCGTAGTGCGCTGAATTTGGATGACGTGTGACTCGTCTCAGCATTGCAGCTTCAACCGAAATGTCAATCGCAGTACATATAGACTTCCACTGATTACGATCATCCAACAGCTTCCCCTTTATTGTACTCGCCTGTGATTCAGCAACATTTGTACACACAACGGTTAACGCGCCTTGGCTCCTTGCGTTGGATGCAGATTTGCCATGACTTAAAGACACGGTGTTAAACGGATTGTTTGGTTGTTGGAGTCTGGTCAACTTACTGTTGCTTGGTGAGGCCACCGGAGTCGGAGGTAATTTAGCCGGTGGATGCATTGAGGCGACTGAGGCGTATGACGCCC